CCCTGCATACGTTTTCGCGCAATCGGCGCATTTCTTCGCACATTCAGCGTATCTCCGACGAAGGGGATGTCTGTGCTGGTTACCTTGACAGAACTCAAGTTGGAACGAGCTCGCTTTGTTACTACCGATAGCATAGAACGTCGTTCGCTGATCTCTTCCAGAGTCCCTTTGCGACTGCTCCTTATGCGCTGAAAGTTGCATTGACCGCGGAACTCCGATCTGAGAGCCAGTGCGTCATCTACTGGGGATATATGCGGTGCGTTGGCATATAGAAGCCGATGACTGCTCCAGAGCTCATTGTTGTACCCACAGCTGACTCAAAGTGCATGCCCCAGAACATTCAGGTTGCTGCTCACTATTATCGTGGCCAGCTCAACGTGCTGATCAGGTGCAACAGACTATCTACACCAAGTGACCATGTTGCGGGAAGGCCTCCGAAATGGCTCTCTTAGTGTGGACGACGACAGGACTATCAGCGCGGCGCGCGAAACCCTCTCCGATGAGACCACCGTCGGCGTCGATCGGGTGGCGCACCTGACCTCTCTCTCGTCCAAGCTGCTCGTGCGCTCAGCTTGTACGCATGACCAGCAAGATCTAGACGATGCCATCTCCGCAGCACGCGAGGCCATTTCTATCTCCCCTCCGACGGATGGGCCCGGCGCTGCACTACTACACACCCTTGCCGAGTCGCTCCTCCGTCGATTCGAACTCACCAATCAGCTGGCTGACGTGCAGGAAGCTTTGTCCCTCCACCGCACAGCGCTCTTCCTTCGTCCTCCTGGGCATGTGGACCGTCATGTCTCTATCCTATCGCTTGCGCGAGCACTACATACCCATTTCCGCCACACCGGCGAACCCCAAAACTTCACTGGGTCCATCCAGAGCATTCGCGACGCCCTTTTGTTTTTCGACCCCGCGCGCCATGGTCATAGAGCCGCCTCACTTGCAGACGAGAAGCAGCACATCAAATTTGAGGAGCAACAGGAGCAAAATGGAGAGCCGGGCAAGCCTGAGCAGCGCAGTGGGGATCTAGGCGAGGTGTCAGAGACCGAACCGGGGACGCTATGGGAAGAAAGCCATGTCAACGGGCGCGCAAACGCCATCGCGCAAGAACAAAATGACTTCGCGGACGCCGTGGCACCTACAGCTACTGCCAAATATCCCCATGCCCGAACTACTCTGCTCCCGCCACCGTCCCTCGCACCACCAGTTATGTTCACAATAGGCAGGAGCCTCGGCAACGTCATACCTGTCCCACCTGTCCCTGCTGCTGTCAATTCACAAGCCCTTCTGCACGAGCCCTTTCCTTCCAGAACTCATTTCAGCCTACCTGCTGCATATCCGCCGCCGCCGGACAGCTATGCTCCTCCACCGAGTCACCCCATGGCGAGTCCGAGTTGGCGAGCAAGGCCACCACTATCGACGGTCAACAGCACCCCTCTGCTACCGCTTTCTAAAGCCGAGCGAGAGTGGCAGCGCCAGAAGAACACTGAAGGCGCGCACAACCCCGCCATCGACGCCATCATGGAGATGACAGGCCTCGAAGAAGTCAAAGCCCAAGTGCTGCGGATCAAGGCTAAGATCGACACCACTCAACGCCAGGGCGCGTCGCTCAAGGACGAACGGTTTAACGTCGTTCTGAGAGGTAATCCAGGTACTGGTACGTTTATTTCCTTGCTGCCTTCGGAGTACGAGCTGATTTCCACACAGGCAAAACAACTGTCGCGCGACATTACGCGAAGTTCCTCGCCTCAGTCGGCATCGTCCCCGGGGACTCATTCATCGAGATGACCGGGTCTCGTCTGGCACATGACGGCGTTCGCGACATCAAAGAGCAGATCGAAGAGATGCGCGACGAGGGCGGCGGCGCGATATTCGTCGACGAAGCGTATCAGCTCACCGAAGGGCACAATTTCTGCGGCGGACCGGTCCTCGACTTCCTCCTCGGCGAGATGGAAAAGAGCGCTGGCGAGATTGTCTTCATCTTTGCGGGCTACAGCAAGCAGATGGAGAAGTTCTTCGAGCACAACCCGGGTTTGTCCAGCCGTGTGCCGTACTCGCTGCAGTTCAAGGACTACACCGATCTCGAGCTCCTGTATATGTTTGGGAAGCTGATACTGAAGAAGTATAATGGGCAGATGAAGGTCGAGGGCGGGATGTTCGGGCTGTACATGCGCATCGCGATCAGGCGT